TTTCTGAAGAAGGGTCCAGACCCGAAAGGTCAGCTTTCCTGCTCCTCTGATGCTGCTTGGCCTACTATGTTCATCCAGCTCGACACCTTGTTATTTCAGATTCTGCAGCATCGGCAGTTCCTACTATCCCTTACCAAAACAGATTATTTGGTCAGAATCGCATTGCTTTTTGTGAGATCTCACAGTGTGCACATTGGCTGAGCACTTCCTACATCACAACAGTGACCACATTTCAAAAGTACTTAATTGGATGTCTGGATGTCAAGAGGCCCTGAAAGATGCTACATAAATGTAAATCTGTCTTTCATTTGGTGAGATTGCAAACATCTCTTGTTGACCATGTGGAGAGATTAATAAATTATGCAATATGTCCATGTTGTGGCTCATTCACAATAATAGCACAAACACTGTCCACTTGTTTTTTTTAGTGCAGATGTGCCTCACATAGCCATTGGGCCCAATCCTTAAGGCTTCTGCTCTTCACCATTTGAAAGCTCAATTAACAGTGGAGTTCAATGAAGGTGACAAATCCATAGGTGCAACTGCTGGAATTGCACCCCTTGTAGATTTTCTAGGCCTGTTGGTAATTCTCACACCATTTATTCTAGCAATTGTCAGGATAAAATCTTCAATGAAAGGTGGGAGAATGATAAGCCCCAAAATTCTACAGTATTTTCCACACCACTGTTATGATGCGAGACTGGGAAAGCAATTTCCACCATCTGCAAACATTCAGGGCCCTGATATTTTCTGTAATTAATGTAAACTTACAGACTAGACAGTTTTAAATCCTGAACTTTCTGAGACTTAATTTAACTTGCAAGTCGCAATTATAAAGATAAATAAACTTTTATATTAGAGTTCATCTTTGCCTGGATACTAACCTGGTAGATGATGCTGATTTAGATCATCCTCACTTACATGAGGATCAGGTGGTTACTAGAATGGGTGTTGATATGGTTGTAAATATTAAGAATTATCCTTGTTTCAAATCTTCAAAGACAGGCTTCACCCTAATGTTATAGCAACGGTATAGTAAAAGACTGGTAGCAGAAAGGAATTAATTGATTTCCTCAGTAAATACAGGAGGAAAAGTGAGTATCTTGTTCTATAATCCAAATTATGCAACTTAAAATAAAACTAAAACATTGGCATCTTGCCTTTGATATATCCCTGAAGTAATGACAGCACAGGAAGAAGCTGTTCAGCCCACAGTGTTTCTGCTAGTCCTGTGCAAGAGCAACTCACCTAGTGCCACATTCCCAGCATTTCCCTGTAGCCAAGTGAATGATTTCAACTCAGATAATCATTCAGTTCTCTTTTGAATGGCTCCATTGAATGCCTCTCTGCCATACTTTCAGGTAGAGCATTCTAGATCCTAACCACTCATGCATTTTTTAAAAAAAAGGTTTTTCTC